ATGGGATGTTTGTGGCCATTTTCAGCCTTTCGAACTAAGGCTCATCACACAAGTGAGGGTGTTTAAAGGGAGGTTTAGCTGCTGGAGCAATGAAACACAAAGCCCCAGACGGGCTCAAAAGCAACTGAGCCAGAACGGATGTTGTGGAACGCCCAGACAATCTAGAGAGGTTTGTGTTGTGACGGCTGAAGGTGCCATGCGTCGCGCTGACACATGGTCTGGGGATTCAGGCAGGGCTCTGCACTTTCGGAGCACTTCTCTGTGGCGAAAGAGGTGGCCTGCAAGGAGCTGCACGTGCGCAGGTGAACCATATGGCCCTTGTCTAAAATCAGCTGCTGCCTGGGGTTGCTCCACGCAACCGTCATCTGCCTGACCGAGTTTCTAGTGGCCTTTCACATTCAATTGAAACGCTTGAGGCGATGGCCGTGTGAAGTGCGATGACCACTCAATTCAATGTCAATTCAATTGCAATTCGTTTCAAGCCAATGGATTCAGCTGATTTCACCTTTAAACTGGGGTTGAGCACCTGCCTGTTCAGTCATCTGTGCTGTATTTTTCATGTCTTTATTGGTCATACTGCATAAAACTTCAATGGTAAAGAGCGGGATGCCTCTCCCGCACAGGTAAGTCCTCACTGTGTCCACAAGTTGGAATCTGACTTCCCCCCAATTAGTTTGCCCATACTGTCCACCTGAGCAATGTGCGCACCAAGAGCAGACAACATGTCATTTGCCATCCATCACATGCTGCAGCTGTCGTGTCATCTCCAAGTTTGTATCCTATGTAGCTTCTGCCCTGGTAGACACCGCATTCTGTGGCCCTGTCAGCTACTTACTGCATCAGTCTTTTACCACGTCGATTTCTGTTGCTGGCTGTGGGAAGCAGGACAACAGGAGGATGATGTGCGGCTGAGCGCGAAAGTGACAGCTGAAGCTGCAGCCGCTCAGGAGCCAGACACGCTGTTTGCCCTGAAGATCGTTGCCACATCTCTTGCAGGTAGAGGTTCACTTGGGCACGTTGCCTTGATATCAACAATTGAGGCAACGACAATCGATTTTTGAAACTGGGCATGGCATTCCACCCGACGCTCCCTGCTTACTTTGAGCTTTGGTTTGCATTGAAAGCTGTTCCCATAGTCACGACCAGACTTTGTGCACGTGGCCACAGGTGCAGCCATTGTCAAGTATGGGTCTCTGTTGGTGGGCATCACCTTCACACCTCAACCCACACTTGCACTTGCGCTAGTGTTGGGTCCCATGCTGGCGTACAGCGCACTTCTCCTCTTGCGAGAGTGAGCGCTGACGATGTCCATCGAAACAGGAACACAGGTGGATATTCCCTCAGTGGTGTGACTGTGATCGCCTGGAGCCATGATGCCAAATCGCACCCTCTAATGGGCCAAGCGAGCGTGTACGCACATGCCCATGCACACAGCACTTGGCCATCGCCTGCTGAGGTGCAAGGGCCTTGTTTTTGTTATGTGTTTGACAAATCCAGCGAATGGAATTCACACACAGCACTTGAGTGCCTTGTGGGGTGCCCATGCAGCCTCTGTCACAAGCTCATCCTTGGTAAGAAAATGAGTTGTTGGCGTCCATCGCAACCTGCCTAGGGGATCACGTACAAATGTTGTTCTGCAAGTCGCAAAAATGGCCGATCTCTCTAGGCAATGGTTGACGATTTACCTGTGCCGGCCAGGTAGCCGCAAGGGCATACACATGCACATTCTTTTAGCCCACACCACATCATTCAGTGCAAGCAAAAGCGGACTGAGGATGGGCGCACCCGTCACTATCATGATTGTGTCGCTGCGATGTCTATTGCGATGACATCCCAGTCTGCCGTCATGGACTAGTCATTCCCAGCATTGGATGATGATACACATGGCAACTGCGAATGTACCACAACTCACTCTTACGACAACAGTAAAGAATCCCAACAACACCACTGACATCACCCTCTGGCAAAACTGCTGCTGCCAGATGCTCTGCCACCTTCCAGGCAAGACATATTGCCCAATTGTTTCAATTTTGATACCAGGTCCCAGGAAGGTTCCAACGTGTTCCTCTGTTACATTCGGAACTGGCGAGAGCAATAGTCGACAGTCGTCCATGCAAACATGTGCACACATTTATGAGCCACTTGGGCCTCCACACATGCTGCATGTCAGCTATGTCGATCATGAACTGCCGTGCTGCTGTTGGCTTGTCACATCATTCAATTTTCTTCTCTTTGTTGACGATTTCGAGTCCGTATCTGACTCGTCGAAGTGCACTTCCTGTGTGATGCACGAAAGATCCATGCTGGACCCCACCGGTGGCTTCTCTTCCCCAGCATTGCTTCGATTCTGCATCCACCAGAACTACCACAAATCAGAGGATTCGCCTCAATGCGGGACGTTGTGCAACAGGCAGCGACGTGCACTGCGTGATGTGCATTGCACCAAATAGACAGCCACGCAAACCACAAGTAGAGCACATGATCGGGCACTCCAACCTCCAACGCTCAATGCCACATCGTCCCCTCCCCCTAAAACCCCAAACCCGCCGCGATCTGAGTGCGCCAATTGCTGGCTAATCCTCGTGCAACGCGTCCCTTCCCTGCAGCCGGGACTTGTGCCAGATCCCCGCCCAGAAGCCACCCCGCTCAGGGCCCCCGTCAGCTGCATAGCGAAATCGGCATGATTGTACGCAGACAAGCGAGAGGATTTCATTCTTCATTCGATGCGCTGGCGATGGCGACTCTGTTTCAACGCTCTCAGGATTTGCGGCAAGCGCGGCGACTGGACACGTGCGCAGGAAACGGATATCATTCGAATCCAATACATAGGTCAACAAAATCACATCACACCGACATAAGGCATTGATTGCAGCAGGTACACCACTTGCCCCATCCTTTCAGGTGACTGGGCAACGTTCCACTTCTCTAAAGCGAATTTAATCAACGAGGAAGCACGCCGCACGATGTTCTCGGTATACAGCACGCAGGGTTCCCGCCGGAGCCTCATGCGATAGCCTTGTACCTGAGTTTGTGCCGCAGCAGCCCTGTATTCATCTGCTGACAGCACAGTCGCCTCGTAATCGACCTGCACACCGGTCAGCCCACTGTGTCATCAGCACAGAATGTTGCGCGCATGTCATATAAAGACGTTCACTTTTTGCCCTTTATCGCTACTAACAGATGGAGGGCAAGCTTATCGCCCATCAGCGTGTGTGGAACAAACGTTCGTAATGTGGAGAATGAAATGCCCGCCGGTTGTGGAGAGTGACCCGGAGCCAAGGCCGCCACTGTGATTCATGATGGGCTTCAAAACGGGAGATGCACGACAACGGAGTCCACACTGATGAGGTTTTCAAATACGCCTAGCAACGGCGACAATCAGCAAAGATGGGTAGAGGACAATTTATGTTGAACCGGCACACGCCTGGATGCCAGGCGCTGGATTTGGGATGGATTTCCTGCGGCGTGCAAATGATTTGCCTCAATGTGGCAACTACCGTATACCAAAAAAAGTTCGCGAGAGAAAAATGTTCGCGCATTTCGCGGTCGAGCCAGCCCGCGAGAATATTTCTTCGCGAACTTTCTTTCCCGCAAAATACGTGAAAGTTTTCCTCCGCGAAATTTGTTCGGTATACAGTAATCTTCTCCTCAGCGGCAAGCTGGCCAGTGGCCGAGGCAAGTACTCCAGCCGCCACTGGTTGCCTCATCAACAGCAGAACTTCATGGACATGTGCCCGTGCACGCAAGCTTAGAGCTGCCAAGCAGTCATGCAACCGCGGGATGCTGGCAGAGCTGCCCACCGTTCTCACGCAAATTTGACATGAGTTCACACAGATTTCGCACAACTTAGCGCAGAAACAACACGGCATCAGCCCACATTTCACCCGCGGCAAATTGCTGAAAGTAGCGAGTCAGAAATGCGCTGTGGGTGCATGCACGCAAGGACAGTCAAAGCGCAACGCTTGTTGTGCTATGGTGGACATTTTCCCCACTGCGCAGCAACCGGTGCCGCCGGCTCCAACCTTGGTCTCCCTCCTGTCCGCATCTGCATTGTCCCCGAACACAAGCGTCAGGCGCAATTGGTGCTGCCCAGGCGCGCACGGAATCTTGCACTTGAATGGGGGACCCCGCAGGACCTGCGGAGAGTGGCCAAGGCCAGGCGGGATATCCACGTGGAGCTCCCTCAGCATCGGCATCCGGCACTTGGCGCCGTGGGAGCTTGTCACCGACAGTGTGAGGGCCGCCTTTTGCTTCCCCTTTGCGGACACTCGTGGCTGGGTCTGCCAGTGCGACACGAGGAAGCGGTCCTTGCGAATGTAGGGAGGGATCTGAAAAGCAACGCAGGGTCAGAAGTGGGTGAAGCGTAAAAGCAAAATGACCTTCAGAATTGGCCATGCACTCCAGCGCGGCGGTGGACAATCCCCCCAGGACCTGCATTGAGGTTTGGTGCACAGCACGGCATTCCCACAGCAAACATCACAGCATCTGGGCTTTGCGCAGGCGGCGGTCAGGGCCAAGTAAAGTGAGGCCATCGGCCGATAGTCAGCATGACCGTATCCTCAAGCGTGGATTTGAGCTTCATCGGGCACATGTACCGCCGTCCATAGCCACGAGGTGGAACTGGGCTCGTTCCCCACTAGATAAGGTGGTCCTTCATGGGCGGTTGTTTGCGACATGAAATTGCACACCCACATGGGGCACCACAACAACATTGTTGGTTTCGAGAAGCACCGGCGAGCTTGGAACTTGGGACATGTTGTGGGTGGAATAATTGTCAAGTCGTTTGCTTCAAGGTGCAAGAGCACTGCGCTGTGAATATCTGGCAAAGTACACACAGAAGGCATAATAACACGTACAAAGCAGCCTGCATTTGTCCGATATAAGGCGATTCGTAGAGCGTGGTTTGCAGATGGCACACTCCACGAATGGTGCTGTGGGTTGCATAGCCGGCTTCTCTTTCACAGCTGGGCGACACGGGGCGGTCGCGCCAAGGGTGTGGATCATATCGCGGGTGCTACAGTTGTGGCCATAAAACACTTCCCATAGATTTGGCCTGGACCCTGCACACACCACATGTAGCTACAGCACGCCTACTGCCATTATCGTGGGCGCATGCTGACCACGCATGCGTGTATCCGTTTGATCGGATGGCACAAGAACGTAACAGCTTACGACATATTTACTGCATGGCGGGCACAGGAAAATAGCTGCAGGTTCGGCACCAACCTCCCAACAGACATTGCATGCAATCGGCGATGCACTTAGCAAGGGCGAAACCGGGCAGACAGCCGATGGATGGTGGGGATGCTGCATATGGGCGAAAGAAATTCGTGAAAGGAGAAACGCATGTCACCTCCTGGTCTAACTCGGCCATCAGGAGCTTCATGACCTATCAACGGAGCAAGAAGAACAATTACTGAGGATCAAAGCAGACGAAGGGGGATGAGACAAAGGTTTGAGCCTTGCCCACCCACGACCTACACCCATTGATAAGATGACGAACATATTTTGAGCTTCACATGTCATCTCCACGGCGCATGTCAGATAGCGAAATGTCTGCACATGGAACTAGTTGCTTGAGACGGCCAGGAAAACTACACAGTTTTTTTAGGAACTCCTAGTGCGCTCTGCACAGAACTTCCCAAATGTGTCACGCTCCCAATGAAACTAAAGAAACAAAAAGAAAAACAGCGGCCAAGAGCTTTACATGGCACTGACACGAACCCTCGGTTTGCAACAACTAAACTCCTATTGGCACCCCCTTTACACAACAAGAAGCCAAAGCGCACGCTGGTTGCTGTCCAACAGACGTAGCGTGCACTGTGCACATAATCCCACGTAATTGAATATACTTCCGCACCGAATGCATGTCCTTTTGCCCCTATTGCCTAGAAGGCGTCCAACGCTGTTCAAAATCAAAGATCCGCAGATTCGCAGTTGTCTGTTCCCCAAAAAAAATTCCACATTCCCTACCGAAACGCAATCCTGCACACGAGAGCTCATGTCGCTCAGTGGCTCACCTCGTCAGACTTTGCATGTATGACAAGGTCTGCATTCTTGTCCCTGGGGGTCTTCTGAAGATTGACAATTGCCAGTCTCCCACCTGACCATTGACACCACATTGACAACTTGAGAGCCCAGCTGCCAGTGAGAGGACCTCGATGCTCCTGCAGCCGTGGCTGATGGGTTGTTCAGGCCAACAGACACAGAGAGTGCGATGAATGCGTGCGCCACACACCACCAACTCGTCCATCACTTGCCGGGTATGTGCTGCTGACGACACAGTAACCCCATTAAAACAGAGGCATCTCATTTCTGGAGAGAACAGCACCTATGGAGGCTGCGCCTCCATCTCCATAATAGAGACTCCGTCCAGCCCAAGGATCTGCACTATTCCAACTGTGAAAAGTGCAACACCAGCAATTGATGTCTTTGCAACTGGTTCCCACCTCACCAGCTTTGACTGTCTCCAAAGGTATATCGCGTGCTGGGATGATCTGTAGACTCGTCCCAAGACATAAAGCTAGATCCTGGTAATAGACACAACAGCCGTATTATATGAATACCAGAGATCACAACTCTGATGCCCATACATCGTTGATCCGCCTATTCACAGTGCCGTTTGGATGATGAGTCAAGTAGTGCATGGGCGACTTGACAATTGCATAGCCCAGGGAATGTAAGAACCGTTTCTTCAATTTTGTTCCTGTCACTGCCATGCTGTTCAATCCGAACAAGAAAGAACAATGCATCACACAATGAACTTCTTTACCTTTTCTGATGTGACTGTTACTGATCAAGCAGCCAGCCTGCTGATCTCCTTTATGGACTACCAAGCCTGAGTTACTCATGTAGTCAGCACGGGTTGCATAATGAATATACATGCTGTGTCATGATTGCGCCCATGGAGGCAGCCTGCAATTGCGTATCAGCATCCCGCCCAAGATGAAAGGGCTGTGAGTATTCTGCGCACGCACACACGATCACACATCTCCTTCTCACCGCTTGTGCTGCAATTTTCTCTGACTGGGCTAGCTCATTCTCTGGCAAAGGGTCGTCCCAGTCAAGGATGTGGTCGCGCAGCCTTCCGCGACATCCGCTGACAGTACACGTGCGGCCTGTGCATTGGAAACCAACCTGGCATGACACAATTTCCACAGTCGGCAGTCAGTGTGCTCGCTTGGGTGGTGGATGTAGCACAGCTACACTTTCATCTGGGACCTGCCATTGGTGGTTTGTGAGCAATCAAAGCTGCACAAAGAACTGATTCATAAACTGTGAACAAGAACATCTATTTCGCCCCTGTTGTCTAATCTATGCAGGATATCTCCTTTTGAGACATGGGAGGGAAATAAGGACAACCAACACATCATCCTCTTGGACTGGTGATGGCAAATGCAAATACCCAGCACGAGTTCCGAAGGATCAACACACCAGTTTTAGTCTCATTGCAGGATGTACAAAGGATATCTATCTTGACTCGTCAACCTGGATCCAACTAGGTTCACCACAAAATTGCAAGCCTGAGTGGCACATTTCAATGGATAGATTCTTCAAAACACAATGCGAGAGACATAAATTGCATGCCAGAAATACAGGTTTGCTGAAAACTTGTTGCCTATTGCTGTCTCTGCGTGTCCAGCACGTTGCTTTAAGCTCGCGTGCAGGAGAAATGTTGTCGAGGGCGAGTATCCATTCAACAAGTACGGCTTCACACATCACAGAACTGGGAAAACCGATCACCAGCATTCCACAGATTCAGAACAGTTTAAATACTGGAATTTGGGCCAAATGGCATGACTTCTTGACTAATCCCACAAAGCAAGCGCCATAGGCACATGCTGAGCAGCCTGGACCACCAAAACCTCCACAATGGAGATCACGCCATGCCGATTTTCGTACATTCAACACCAAATTGATGTTAAGATCAGCCCCTCCAACCCCCACCCTCAACCCCCACATCAATCCTTATGTCGTAGTTGGCAAGACTCAGCAACACCAACTGTCACAATGCAGCATTTCAGCACAGAAGCATGAGCATGGACACGTTGTGAGGATTCAGGAAACGGTTCAAGGAAGGCAAAACAGGCTGCAGCAATCGCACAGGGTTGAAAACTGTGATGTTCGAAGCTAGGGCAGGCAATGGTGACAGTCTGGAGGCTACGAACTGAGATATTTTGGAGTCTTCTTGGAAGACTGAAGTCCTGAGGAGGTTTCCAGCAAGTCATGACTTGTTTGCTGGTGATCAGTGGTGGCATGGCTGTTTTACATGCATTTGGTGGCAATTGCAACTTCTGTGTCACTTCTCAGCATCACAGGTTGGCCCCAAACAAGCATATGGAAATCGAAATCGACATCGTGGGGATTCCATTGCGGAGGCACACATGTCACAACAAGCCTTACTGTTTGCATTTCAAAGTCTCGTATGTACTCCTTGCCACATTTGGGGCAACGTTCAGCAAAGCAGTTTCCATGCAGCTCCGCAAGCTTGTCCCTTGGAATGCCAGATCTCAAGTGCAGACCATCCACATTTTGACTAACTATGTGGACCACCTTGCCACATGATACAAGTCCGGACAATGCCTGGAGACAAGGTCCCAGAGCATAATCCTCGTCAGGAGTTTGCGACCATCTTGCAAGCTCAGATGCAGCAGCAGAGCATGCATAGAGAGCACAATGGTGCAAGCAGATTTTGGAAAACGACAAGCATTCTTGTTCATGCTGCTGGGCAAGAAAGGAGCAAAAGAACATACACATGCAAAGAGATATTGTTAGACTCTTGTCCACATGCTGCCATGTGCTCCTGCTTGTGGTGGCTCAACTCTATAAGGAAAACCTATGGTCCTGCAGCTGACCATTCTTGCAAACTGTAGGGAAGATGGCAAATTCGATTTGCATCATTATCAGGTATTCAGCACATATGTGTCAAATATAGTGCAGCCTGTTTTCCCGAAGCAGCAGTGGCTTGAGGGAGTCAGCACAATCAACGTATGTCTTCTTTGTGTGTAAATTCGTTGTAGTCTCTCATACAGGGTACAACCCATAGGCACACGTGATAGACACCAAATGCTCTTTGACGCAGTCTATTCCCAAAGTGGAGACAGTGTGCAATGTCTGCAGACAACAGCATTCCATGCACAAGTGTTGTGCCATCTCAAAGGCAGACATTCTTCACAGGAGAAAAGCACGTCTGGAAGGTAGGAATATCCTCAAAATGGCACAGACGCAAGCATAGTTGCTTCCACAGGTTTGTCTGAGCAGAGATATCAACCGCGCGCGGCAGTTGGTTTTTTGGTGCTGGCTTCCAGCCAGTTGTTTTCTATGTTTGGTCTTGTTCTTGGCTTATCTAGGGCCTCAGAAATGGTATTCAGTCATCCAAAACACTGCCCACCAACCTAAGTTGCACCTTGTGGCAAAATTCCCAGCACCGTTCTTGCAGTGGATGCCCTGCACGACTTCCATATGAGAAAACGATCCAACATTGGCAACCGAGGACACACAGATATGCGATGATTTGGAATGTAATTGCCCTCATTCTCTGCTTGCAGCAGGCTCTGCACTTTCCTGAGCGTGTGGCTTTCACGCCAGAAATCAAGAGACTCCAAAAAGTATTCCAGTCGCTGCTGCCAAACAGTACCTGATGAGTCAAGCTTGGCCGAGCCATCTCAAAGCTAGTTTTCAAAGACGGAAGAGGTTTGCCTGCTCTCTGGAGGGTCCAAATGCCTTTGGGACCTCTGCAACACGTACCAGAACTGTTAGTGCTACTTTGTCTCCACCGAGAGATAAGTTGACAGTGTATTCCCTCATTCGAACGTCAGCCGGGCAGTGGAACAGTGGACGGCAGTGGATGCATTCCCCAGCCCATTTATCACTCCTATAGAGAAGGCTGCCGCGAATCCTTGGACGCAAGACAGCTTGAAAACGCATTCGCAGCCGGTGAAGCCCAAGGGGTGAAGGGAGCACCTGAAGTCTGGTATGCCACATGCTGTTGAGATGCCGGCCCCTGTGAACACTATGACGCGACTCGCTTCTTGTATCTGCCACAGCAAAAGTCGTTTCAGTGCTGCGGCTTTGTCCAGTGACAATTTCATGTGCCGCGCCAGTGCTACACCCGGAAGAAAGAACAACACGCGGCGCAGGAACGAGACGCCCACGCCCCCGTCAGAACTAGACTAGACTATGTATTGAAGCAAAAGCGACTGCAATGCAGCAAACGCCCCATTCCCATCTTGCAGGTGGGGCACAGGGCCCGTTCAAGCCCTCACTGGTCCTCACTGGTCACAAGAGCTGATTCCATGCGTTTCAATCCGTTACATCTTTGCATGGCATACACAAATGCAACGAGACACACAGGAGGTGCAGCGAAATGCCCAGGACAACGCACTGCCTGTCGCTGGTCCGCGTTGCCTCAGGGGCATGTTCGCCCGGCCCTGTTGACCGCCGCTTCTCTCAAGCCAGCCGAGACTTTGCACCGGGTGGCGGTTGGGACACTCACCCATTTGGACAGCCGATCAACACCCTCTCGAAGCTTCTCGGGAGAGTCAAACAGCTCCCGCGCCCCCAGCTGCCCCCCGAGGTCTTCGCGATACGACAGGCGCGAGGCGTACCCCAGCGACATCCTGCGCCGAGTTCGCACACCGACACCTTCTCTGCACCCCTCCCACCTTAAGGCCCATCATGGCATTGGCCCCCCGTTCGCACCCCTGTCTGCATACAGGAAGATGCACGACTGCGATTATTCATCAACGCAATTGCTATGTCTCCTTTCTCCCCCCATCATCTGGCGAATGGGGTGGGCCTGCACAGCAGTCACTCCCACGGCCGGACCCAGCCGGCGCCCCAACGACCCAAGGCCAAATTTCTCCAGGGTGGAATAACTGAGATGAGGGAATGGGGCTCGTTTTGATGGGGACAGCGTCGGGCACAAAGCCCGTGGTTCCACTAGATACAAAGTCCCAAAGCAACAGACGTGCATCCTCAACAAGCGTGCACGAGCGCCCGTCGCTGCTGTCCAAACGCCCGTTCCTCGCCGCACGGTTCTGCAGCAGACGCGCAAGTGAACAGCACACGGGATGCCGTGAAGTCCGGACGTCACTCCAACCCCCAGCAAAGTGCAAAATCCACACACTGCTCCGGAACCCGTCTACAGCCAGGTCTACAGCCCATGCAACCAGCAGCACCGATCGACCAGTCAGCGCGGCCTCCCGCCAGGCCAGCGCCCGCACACGCGGCATGACCCGATCCGGCTCGACCCCCATTCCTTTTCCCACAAAGTTGTCCTTCGACCCATCGGAGCGAGTCCCCACGCCGACCGGCGCCCAATGCCCCGCGGGAGAACCCCCCTTGGCCTGAAAGGCGCACCGCGCCACGCTGTGCGAGGAGGGACGCGCTGCCATCCTCGACAGACTGCACCCAAACGCTAACTAGGCTGGGCACCCAATGGCGGTGGCGCAATGCCCAGTGGCGAATCTTCTGTCGATGGACAGGGGGCGGCAGGCCGGCCGCAGATCCCCCTGCGGATCAATGGCATGGGCGGGGCGGAGGATGGGCGGGAGGCGCTGCAGGGCGTGGTGGCGTGGAGGCCGCACACCGGGCGCAATGTCCTGCTCACTGTGGGCCCCGCAGCGCTTCTGCTGGCCGCTGCGCCTGGCCACGCCGAGGGCGATCTGCCGCGCGTCGCCGGAGGGTCGCAGGCCGCCGTCCGGAGGCCCGGCGCCGACGGGCGTCGATGAGCTGCGCACGGAGGTGGGAGTCGTGTGCGCGGCGGTGGGTCAGTCGAAGTGCGTCGTCCGCGTTTTTGGGTGGGTTGGGGGCCCTTTGCAGGCGGATGGAGGTTCTTGAGGTGCCCATGGTGGCCAGGGGGTTGCGGCCTGTTGCACTGTGCCGGAATGTTCCTTCGCGAACTGCGGGGTCGGGGACGCGCCGAGCAGCCCGGCGGCATCGCCTGTGGGGCAATCTCCGGCTGGACACTGCGCTGGTGGACAGTTTTCGAAGGTCGGCGTCGCGGCTGCAGTTCGGGCGGTGGCTGCTGGCCTGGATTACGATTGGGAGGCGGGTGTCGTTGGCGATGGGGTCGTTTGGGGATTGGATTGCGCGCCTTGTCCAGTGGGGCATTTGCCAGCGGCGCCCTGCGCGCCTGGCTGGCCGGCGCCGCTGAGTCGCTGCGACGCCCACGCCCTGGATGCCAGTTGCTGTTGTTGTCGCTGCTAATCGGAGTGCAAGTGGTTTCAACACTCGTTGACCCTGGGCGGCAGTGCCATGAGAATCCCATTTCGTTGCCGCATGGGCGCAGGATGAGGGGGAAGACGAGCAGGATGATGCGTTGGGGGCTGAAGAGGGGCCAGAGCCTGAGTTTGACGTGTATTTTGAGGAGGTGGAGGAAGACGATCTGACCACGTCTGTCGCGGTGGACCCGGCGCCCGCTCCCCCGCCAATTGTCCAAAGGTGCTCAATCGCTGGAACACGGGCTCAGTGCACTTGCAAACCTTCACGCTTGCTTATGCTCGTGCTCCGCTTGCTTGTTTGTTACCTGCAGTGACAAGGGATTGATAACTCACACACTTTGCACATCTGGCTGGTGCATGGATGGCGCACAAGATGAGATGGGCACATGTCTAAGGCCAAGCCAACATGACAGTTCACTGGCTGGTGTTGCTATGTTTAAGCATGTTATTGCAGTGTTGGGTAGAGACGCTGGGATAGGAAGTGGGTTGGCCAGGTGCGGACAAGGGATATTCGTTGCAGAATGCCACAAAATTGGAGTGTGTTTGGGCTGCCACTGAGCATGACAGTTGCCAGCAGGAAGTAATGCAAAGAGGAGCATCCTCCAGCATGTTGCTTCAGCACTGAATATTGGTTTTAAACGTGATTGGCTGTGCACTTCAGGGGTGGCCCAGTGTGGAGTTGGGCGGCGGCAGGTGCAGTTGCAATGCTGGTATACATGTCTGTGTGGCGATGGCTCTTTGGGAACCGTTGGCACAAGCGACATGGCAGGGAGGCCCTAGTAAACAGGGAAGATGTGGCGACCAGAGGTGGGGCTGTCAGAGAATGCTTCGAATCGAGCTGTGAATTGAAACTCATTGCGTACATCAAACTTGTGTACTTGGCATATCTGCAGGATGTGTCCAATTTGGAACAGTTTGTTAACAACAGGGATGAGCCAGCAACACATGCTCACAACTTTGACCCAGCGAATGGCTCAGACACTTGGACATTATGAGTTTTCATTGTGTGTTGCATCTTGTGATAACGGCCTTCTGGTCACATTTTGACCTCAACATTGCTGTGCAGTGTGCTGTGGCAGAAGCCAGCAGTAGTTTCATACTCACACTAAAAGTGGAGCTGATGGAATTGCACTTGCTTATTGCTGTATGAACCGAGCAACAAAAGAAACAAAAGTTCACTGTGCAGGGCTCAGTCGCAATTGTATATTGCCATTGATAGCACGTTCAGGATTTGTCATTGTTTGTCACAAGAGTGCATTTCCACAGGAATCATGTGATTACATTGGGATGATGGACATTTGGTGCCACTTGCCAGATAGTTATGAATTCTCAGCTAACTTGCAGTATTCAGCAGCTTTATTCTCCCCATCTTGTGGATGCTGGAGCGGACAGATTCTCTATCGCATTTCCTGGTGTATTTGATTTCCTAATCCTGCTCACTGGTAGCTCAAGTTCAACAACACCTGGATTCGGTCCAACCCGTTGGCACTGTTAGTGGTCCCCATGATCTTCTTATCTCACGCTACAGGAGAGAAACTTTTTGCCACCCCGTTCTGTTCACCCATCAATAGGTGTAGATTCTTCCCTTCCTCAACTTTTTCTGTGTCGACTTACCCTAGGCCTATGCGTTTGCAGACTGGAATAGAAAAATTGAAGCGTTGGCAAGTGCATGGCAGTAGGGAACAGTGCCAGCTGACGTTTCACCTGTACATTCCTTTTAACTGCATAGTACATATATATTCGCCTGAGAGATTACTTGCAGCAAGAAGTAGCATGTGCTATGGTATGGGCACCCCTCACGGAGGAGAGAAGTCAGCCGTTGTCCAAGCAGCTGGGATCATACAAAATCATTTTCCTGAGCACCCTCACATCCAGAATGGAAGATGGTCAGGAGGAGGGATTGATCAGGTGTCTGTTTGTTGTGCAGCTCTACTGGCTGGTCAAGATACCGAGCCTGTGGAATGGGTCAACATGTCTTTTCGCAAGGTGGTGACAGTGCTCAAACTGCTACCAACATGGTGTCAATGTGCAGCACTTGCTCAATTCTGTGCAGTGTTGTCGTGATTCGCTGTTTCTGCTGACCACGTAGAAGTTGACCAGTGTGCAACCAACAAGCCTGCTTACTGATTTGCTGTTCTCATCGTCTTTGCACAGACCTGACCTTCTGTCACAGGGTACCAATTGCAGGGTCATGTTTTCTTGCTGGCTCCCCACGTTGCTGCCTTCTGAAATCCTTAGGTAACGATTTGCTGACAGCACAGAACACAACCTATCCTTCCAGGCATTTACAGTCCCATGAGCAGACAGCCAGCGCTTGGTCAGACCACAAGATCCTAATTCTGCTGCGTGCTATGCAGATAATGTCTTTCTGCGACTGCAATGGAGATCCAACATTACATGACATTGTCTCAAACCCTGTTTGATGGAAAGATGTATCCTTTTATTCTCCCCTTCTTTCCTTGAGGATACCTTTGGTTGCGCTAAAAGAAGAAAAAATGTCATACAAGCGGCAACCCCACCTGCGCAAGTGTGTTTGAGGTTCTTTTCCATGCTGTGAGAAACAATGTAGAGTTTGCCTGTGCAATATGATGAGGGAACTCTGATGTGTGGCACATATGTGCAATCAGCCCTTGGCCACAGCTGCCAACCTGATGCTCACCATCTGGCTGTCCTCGTTGGTGTTCTGATGTTGTTCTACTGTTCTTCCAGATATGGCGCGTGTACCAGCGCGGCCTGGAGAGATGGGTCACACGTCTCCTTCAGCCTGTGTTCGATGGAGTTGTGGAAAGAGGGAATGTTCCCCCAATTGTACAGGGCCTGAAGATCATGGAGATTACCTTTGACCATGAGGCGCCACGCTTCTCCAACATGAGGCGTCGCTCATCCCGAAAGGACTCTGACCTCAATGCAGTCGTTGATGTGAGGTACACTGGTGGAATGAGGATGCTCCTGGTTCTCGAAGTGGGGGGCGGAAGGTGGAGGCTGAAGGTGCGACAAAATTGCCCACCCTGCTGTCTTGCTGTTTTGACTGACCATTCATGCACTCAATTTCCAAAGGTGCTTTGATCTGCACGTGAGCCTGTGCCCACAGCATCTGATTTTGGCCAGCTGTGCTCAGGGCTGGTCAGTTGTCGGCTTGGATGGAAGTTGCTTTGGGACAAGACTACGGGCATTGTAAGCGATTTGCAACTGATTGAGCTCAAAAGGGACTGGTTTGCTGTATGCACAAGACAATGAAATCACTGTGGAATTCCAACCGAACAGCGATCGCTGCAAAGATTGTGCTGCAGGCTCTCCATGTCATGTGCCATGCCCCTGGCATCTTGCAGCCAAAAGTTAGTCAACAGTCATGCTCAAGAAGCTTCTGTGCAAGATTGAATTCATTGAAGCACACTTGCTCGTCGCTGCTGCTCACGATGTTTAAAAAGATGCAATGCACAGAATGCCACAGTGAGCGATTGATTGTTTGCGCGTGCTTGTATGTATCAGGTGCCAGTGGTGGTATCTGATCTGGACCTGGAATCTGCTCTGTGGTTCAAAGTTCGTCTTGCACCACTGTCTCCCTACATTGGAACACTCTCGTTTGCATTTGTGGCACCGCCGAACATCCAAGTGCAACTGGCCCCCTACAACCGGATCCAACTAATGAGGACACCAGGCTTGCAGGTAAGACACTTGTCACAAAATGTACTTTGATCCCCTGCATTCAGGTGGCACAGTACTTCTGCAATAATGGCTTGCAGTCGATGCCTGCCTGTGTTATGCCAGTCTGCCAGTCCGCGTAGGCTGGCAGCTCCTCCCAAATGAGTACACTAGAAGGCTCAGTGGAGCATTGCACATTTGCCCATCTTCATGCCAGAGACGATGCCAGCGCCTAACTGAACAAATTTCGCAAGAAAGGAAGGAACTGTGTGCTTTTGCGATCTTCTTATAAGCAGAAGGAGGTCAGTCCAGATTGCTCCATGAAACTGGATTGCTTGTTGAAACTGGATTTACTGTCACCTGTCCACGTTTCTTGCTTGGGTGGCGACCTTTGCTATCCATTCTGAGGCACTGGTGGTCTGTGGCACAGAACTTCTTGACCAGGTTCTTGACAGAGGATCTGCCAGGCATGATGGTGCTTCCCAGGAGAATCGAAGCAAACATACCTCCTGCAGTTACAGCTGTTGCGGAGGCTGCAGTTGGCCGCGATGCTGTCATGCGTGCTGTGGCAAGCGCTGTGCTGCAGGCTGATGCTTTGGAATACTCCCTGCACGCTGCTCTCCCTTTGGGGCCTCAAAAGCCAGCTGGTGGAGTGTCCTTGCCTGAGTCCTTCCAGGTGTGCCAGGAGAATGGGTGCCTCGGATGTCTGTCAACACACAGTTGTACCAGACTCAGTCCTTGCCTTCTCAGACAAAAGGAAAACATGCCATGCAAAATGAGCTCCCTCTTACTTGACAAAACTTCTGCAAGACTAGATCCACACTATGGAGCTTTCGTGTTGGCTGCTTTCCTGATGCATTCGAATGCCTGTGCTTTTCTTTCTGCTTTTGTGGTGTGCTGTGGAATGATTAGCATCCTAAGGGGTTGTCAGGTCATGTGCCTCCTTCCCTGGAAACTTCATTAAGGCGTTGGTTGTTTTGTGTGATTGTTGACACATTTTTGCATCCTTTGAAAGGCCATTGCTGTGTACTGAGACTGAGTTTGGTGTTGATGTCCTTGCCTGCAACTGTGCTGTTACCAAGTAAAACAATGAAAAGGTGGGTGCACTGTGTGGCTGGCTGGCCTGGATGTCAAAGTATGCATTATCTGAAGGCACATTGTATCAAGCCGCCATAAATCGCAAATTGTGCATTTGGTGCAAACTACATTGGCTGGGTCTACAGGGTGAACTCACAGTGAATCTGCAAGAAGGTCGCGACCTCCCTGTCTGGGGCTTCCCATGGCAGAGCAATCCTTTCTGCAGGTTGGTTTTGGGCAAGCAAGCGCTGCTGAGCAAAAAGGAGAATGAGACGAGCTGGAAAGGGAGCCACAGGGCACCCCTCTGGAACCAAGAGTTTGAGCTGCTTGTTGAGGATTTGGATACGCAGGTGTGCTTGTGATGGGACACACGGAGCATCTGCTTCACTGTTGGCTTGCAGCAGTAATGCACTGGTTTCTTACACGCATTCCTAGCCCAGGTGCACTGCTATAAAGTCTGTTGCAATTGGCCGTTGCTCCTTGCGATTAGAATGTGATATGCTTGTGAAGTACAAGCTTTGGGTGGCTGCCTGGGTTGCATTTGCTGTCGATGTCCTTGCCAAAGACTACCAGCCTTGGCTTTTCTCTTGTGTTGTGAAACCAATTGGCAGCTTGCTTGTCCCTGGCTTGGCAGGTGCTGGAGGTGTTCATCATGGATTCACATATGACTGCACGCCCTGACGTCGGTAAAGTGGTGTTGCCACTGGCAAGGCTTCGACCCGACGAGTGCCTGAGTGTATGGTTGCCTGTTCTCCCTATTAATGCTGGTCAACAGGCCCAAGGAGAACTCAAACTGGACTTGACATACAGGGTGAGTGAACATTCAAAGTACCTTGATATCTTAACTCTCTTGACATCTCTGTTCAGGGTGGCTCCCGATCTACTGTGTCAAACCCTTTGGTCTGGGTCACTGCTCATGGAATATTGGCAACGCCTTGCCCAACTTTGTGCGTTTCAATTCTCATCGTTGCTGACACTGAGTAGTGCCACTGCAACGCCCACTGCACTATTCAAACAACAGCCAGTGTCCTCCTGTGCTGTGCCTTGGAGCTGTGTGCATTCTGTGGTGGACAAACCTACCGATCTGGGCGTTGTCCCCAGTGTTCCCACTGGAAAAATGCTATCAGTTTTCTGACAGCATTTGTGGTATGCGTGTAGCCCTTCCAGGATGACACTTATGATTCTGGTTACCGTGAGGCTGAGGCATTCCAGCAAGAGCTCCAGACCATCACAGATGTGAAGAGTGCTGCTGCCGCGACCTCCAGGGCGGGGGCAGCGGCTTCTGCTGCCTTTGAGGCCGTTGCGATGGCAAGAGCAGCAGCCGCACGAGCTGCCAATCGGGCACAGAAGGCTGCCATGATGGCGACCAACATGGCGCTGACCGGAAGCCGTGATGGGGAGGAGGAATATGATGAAGATGATGACGAGTACGACAGTGACGAAGACGACCTAGACTGGGACCCTGACACATACGAACCTGGCGAAATCGAAGTGAAGACAATCGACTCAGATGTATATCGGCCGGCAGGAGTTATGGATGAAGATGGCGATGCAGAGGATGCAGAGGATAAGGAGGGGGCAGGGGAGGTTTGGGAAAGTGAGCCAAGGACAGGTGGTGAGAGACAGGAAGAGCTAGTGGTTGCTGCAGTGGTCAACGAGGCTTCTGCAGCACTGTCTCGTTATGAACAAGATATTCTGCAGGAGGTGAAGACTGAGCTTGGAGATGACAGTCCCGATCTCATTGCAGCGGTTGAGATTGTCGATGAGCAATTTGCAGATAATGCGGCATTCGGCAATGTTGTCAATGCTCCTGCTGGGGATGCCCCCACCACTGCAACAAATGAAGGAGAAAATGGGAAGGTTGCTGTGTCTGGTTCCAAGGACGAACATGATTTGGGAAGGCAGAATGGAAGCTTGCTCACGTTTGATGAGGATGAGGAGAGCTGGATGGATTCCAACCCTTATGGATTCGATGGTGGCTACGAGACAGGCAGCATGGATGGCGGCCAGGCTGCTGCAAGAGAACAGGTTTCCTGGCGGCCTTTGGTGACTGCCAGCCAGGCGAACCTGGCCCGCGAAATGGCGGGCACCAGTGCTGCTGGCCATCCAGTCGCTGATGGTGGCTATACCGCACAGGTAAATGGTGGTGGTAATGGACGTGCAGATGCTGAAAATGGTCAAGTGGGAGTGGGAGCAGGCCATGAACTGCGTCCGGCAACCACAGACGGATTTGCATCTGGAACAGACGATGTGACTGGGCGCCCTGCTCATGAGCAGGCCGAGGCAAACTCCAGCACCCGTGATGTCACAGACTTGCTTGCACAGCAGCAACCTTCAACGTCAGCACCGGACATTGGTGCAAGCGTGGCTACTACGTCCAACTTATTCGACCAATCTCGCAGCTTCTTGGAACCTGGCGCTGGCGGGGCAAGCAGCAGTGGCGGGCTGCCTGCAGGAACAGAATCGCTCCCTGAGGACATCTTGCCACTTGTATCCTCAGCTGCTGGGCAAAAGAGGAAGCGTGAGGGAGAACCACAAAGAAAAGGCCCGTGGTGGAGTTTGCTGCGGCGCATTGGCAGGAGGGCCGACGATGAGGGGCGTGGCGAGGGCCCTCAGTCGAGTAGGGAGCCAGCAAAGGAAGAGGGGACTAACAACGGGCAGCGGGCGGCATGGTGGTCATGGGCTGCATCGTTGCTCGCTAGGAGACCAGAAAAGGAGCAGCGCCGTCCCCGAAAGAAGAGGCGAAGCAGCAAAGGTCCCAAGCTTGGGAAGTCCAGAAGTAGAAAGCCGCCTGCTGGAATGGGCAGCGTGGTTGTCCCAAAGGAGGTGCCATTGGAGGACATCGCCAGGGAGGTGGTGCGGATGAAGGAAAAGAATTCGGAACAGGAGGACGAGCGGATGGACAGGATGTACAATGAAGCTGTGGAGCAGAGCGACAGGAAGTGGGTTATGTTGCTGTTCTTCTTGTCTGCTGTTTCCGTCGGGCTGCTGATGATTGTTGCCTACAGATTGGACCAATTCCCCTAGTGCAGGTGTGGCCATGAGAGGAGCGCCGAGAGCAGAGTGTTCGAGAACGAGTACTGTATCGACATATGCAGCGGTCCTTGTGACGGTACGGCGTAGATTGTGGATTGGTAGTTGTGTTTAGGGGACCTCCAGCAGCGTGCAGGGACCTCCTGCTGGCTTCTGCTCGCAGCGGTCTTCATTTTTAAGGAACGGAATATTGATATCTGCCTGCCTGCTGGCTGCCTGCAGACACCATTGTGCTGTGGCCACCTTTGGTCCTTTCTGGACCAAGGGCAATCTGCAGGAGAGCAGTGCCATCAGGCATCCGGCAGTCAATATCTAGGACTGCGCTGGACCTATCCAGTTTCGTGTACGCTGAGTGCGTGCTTCTGGTGAGCCCGCCACCAGCCAAGATATATTATGCACCATGACAGCAAACATCATGCGGTCCAATCCAGAAGCCAACACCCAGCACTGCCTTTGCAATGGTCTCCTTGCTGGTGTAGTGGCTCCCGCTAACCAACCCTCGGGTCTGCGCCAATTCACGGCCAGGGAACCAGCCCCGTCATGCAGCTTACTGTATATTTCAAGCACATTCTATATTTCATTTTGGAAATGGATAACTCCGCGCATCCCAGCATCACCTTCAGAGCCTGCCAGGGACTGGGCTCGTAGCAGCAGTTCCAATTTGTCATAATCACGATCTCAAATCACCTCCACATGATGCGGGAAGAAACTTTCGGGTGTTTTTTTTTTCTTGGGCGATGCAGGTGGCCCATGGGTACCTCCGTACGTGTAACACTTCTTGATGGCGACGACAACGGCATTCAGAGTGCGACTGATTGTGCGACTCTACCAAGTGCAATCCAAAATGAAATACAATGAAATGACAGCGCACCAAATTCATCGCATCATCGCCTTCGCCACATGCTTCGTCGGAGTTTCGCGGTGTGCATACGTGGATGCCACGAGCGCCGACGCCTGGCGACACGAAGGCGTTTTTGCCACCTCCGGTGAAGTGGACACGGTGCAGAGCAAGACCCCGCCTTGTGCACGGCACAGCGGTAGCCCAGGTGTGTTGGAAGCCCGCACTCTGGGGCCACAGCCTCCGTGCTTCGCGGGAGGTGGCTGGGTGCGGCGCTGTGCCGTTTGAGCTGTGCCTTGCTGGGCAAGACGAGCGACGACTATCTGCGAGCTGGGCCTCATGCGGGGTCAGTTGCAGGCCCTTTTGCGCCGCGCAGCATCAACGCAGGGGAGGTGAGCGATGTGACAGGGTTGTGGAGAGCAATGGCCAGATGTGACCTTGCTCGCCTTCAGTGGGTCGATTGTTGGCGGGAACGCAATCTCAGTTTCCTGTGCAAAGGATACGAACCGTGAAGATAGCCTATGGTAGATGGGAAGGTGGAATGTGTAACGGAGCAGTCACCTTTAATCGAGGTGGTTGTTGTTGCGACGGCCTTGCACGAATTGGTCGCATTTTGCTGGAAGCGCAAGGTCGACACTGAGCAGTTGTTGTTCCCCAGAATCCTGGGCGCCTGTGCCTGATGCAGCGCCGCGGCTGTTCAGGTTAGGCCATGGCGTGTTTGCTGAATTCACTTTCAGGTCTGCGGGACAATTGGACCCCCCCCCGAGGCACGTGCGCAAACAGGAATGACGGGCACGCGGGCATCAGCTCTGCACCTGCCGTTGACAACCAAACGCAAGTGCCAATGGGCCGCAGCTGCGTGACCATTCGGGTGGCCATCTTCAGTTGTGTGCATGGATACTGCGCGTCTGCTTTGCAGATCCTGGGAATCGCTGGACGGGCAGTCCATGGTTCGGTCGAACTGCACAGCGTTGGGGCGCCAGCAACTCAGGATCAGCAGGATGGATGAGGCCGGTAGAATGCGGCCACGGCTCATAGCACGGCAAGCACCAACAGGACAGCCAAAACTGTGCTTCTTTTGCGGGCATCACTTCCTGCGCGCAGAATGCTGCTCTCTTGTGGGCTCGTTCACATAAAATGTGCAGATATTTAGTATATTCACATGGCCCTGAGGTTTGGACAAGAACGTCCATGTTCCTACCTCTTGCCTTACTGTTCATCTGTATTGACACCTACAGTGCCTGTGCTTTCCAGGTCGAAAATCGACATCGACTGGGACAACTTGAGTTTTAACCTTGACCATCATGGGCAGGTGATTGGTGCTCATGAGCTCATACAAATCTGTGGCACCACAAGACAGCAATAAGTTAAGGGATGCCCAGCTATGAGGATGGCAGTCGATACAGTGCGTATCCCTTTTCATGCAGCCCTTGTGGTTGCATACTTTCAGACCAGTTCTGGTGGTTTTGAGATGGGACATAGCACAATACAGAGATGTGTGGTGGGCGTTGAATGGGCGTTGAAAAGACTGCCCTTGTATGCTCTGCTGGTCTTCCAGAATTGGCACATCTTTACTTTAAAGGGCAGCACTTGTCCTATGCTTGTGCTCAATGCTGGGCTGTCCAGTGCGGAATGATTGTACGACTGTACCTGTGAACCCTGCCAACATAGAGCTGGTGTTTTGTAGGAAATGTTTTGTGCGGTGTGGAATGGCCCCGCAAAAGGTTGGGAGGGTCAGTTGCAGGACTATGGACCACTTTCGCTGATGCCCAGTGCCCAGGCTCTGAACTATGGACAATCAATATTTGAGGGCATGAAGGCCAGGAGAACTGCCAAGGATAGGATTGTCTTATTTAGACCTGAGATGAACGCCTCGCGTATGAAGGATGGCGCACGAAGACTATGCATGCCAGAAGTGCCACAACATACTTTCATTAATGCTGTGGAGGAGACTGTCAGGGCCAACAGTGAGTACGTAAGTATGCTGCTAATGATAATTCATTCCAGTCGTCGGGGATGATTGCTTGCTGAATTGGTGCCATGCGATTGCTGAGGAGTCATAAAGTACTGTGAGAAAGACACGGCAGAAATAAACAACACAAGCAACAAACCGTGCAGCAAGGGTAGACATGTGAACATGTCTGTGCAAAGCTAGACATCTAGAGCTTCGCTGCTGTGTGTAGCGATCGGCCACACCATGGATGTCAGCCTCCAAATATACCTATCTGTAGCTTCAATCCCATGTCTCTTCAAAAGCCTCAGCTAGCTCACTGTCAAACCACACAAGACCCTGTGCGTCACATTGAAGGACACCAGAAGTGCAAAAACTCAACAGGGCTGGCATGGAGGGGCAATCTGCAAGTGATGGGGCTTGCAGTCTGGGTGGACAGGTGCTTGGCTGTGCTGTTCATTGTGCCGTTCTTGTGTGTGTCCGCAGGTGCCTCCTTTGGGAAAAGGGGCTTTGTACATCAGGCCATTGCTGTTTGGCTCAGGACCAATTCTTGGACTGGCTCCTGCACCGTCTTACACCTTTGTGACATACTGTGCTGCTGTTGGCTCATACTTCAAGGTGCGCACAATCTTGCACCTTGGTCTTGTGCTTTTCCTTGTTGTGCATCCCCACAGTGGCTTTCTACCCTCGATCCCCCTGTGCATAGAAAGATATGGGACTTTTTTTCTGTGTGTTGCATGTCAGCCTCCAGGAGATCACATTCAGTAAATTAGTCCAATGTGAAAAGTTGGTTGATCCAGCCACAGATCGGAATGGCGTTGGCCCCAGTGCCCGTCACACCTGACCTTGCATTCAGTTTCAGTCCATGTGCAAAGTGAGTGCATAGCAATTGTTGCCATCAGCTGTTGTGCAACTGACTGAACGCATTAGCAAACGGTCATGCAGGGTGGCCAACTGAAGCCCATCGACTTGGTTGTTGAGAACAAGTTCCACAGGGCTGCTCCAGGAGGGATGGGAGGAACCAAGGCAGCAGGAAATTACTCCGCGGTAAGTACACACCCTGTCTCTGTCGGCCCAGATTCAAGCACTCGACCAGTGGTGTGTAGGACAGCTCTGCTCTATTTGGCCTGCTCAGTGTTTCGCATATTGCACAACCAGACATCTGCATAATCTTATACAGTGTGTGGCAAAGAGCCTCGCAAAGTTTGTTGCGAAGGGTCGCTGCGATCAGTGTATGAGTTGCTCCCTTGCTGTTGAAATTGGGGAACCTGAGGCAACACTGTACCACCCTGTCCCAGTATCCCTGAAAATATTGGCACATTGCTTATTTTGCAACCCCGGCCTCTCCTGGACGTCTTGGACATGGATGGACACATTAACATGGGCTGAACACCCCAGTGTCCATCACTAAGCCACTCAGTTCTCAGCTACGAAAGCTGAATGACTATTTATTCTGAGATCAGGTATGATGCAACAGTTCATTGCCATTCAATTTTGATGCGGACATCCCAAGTTGTAGCCAAAAAGAGCATGTTTGCTGCTGTCCACGGTCGTTGACAGCTGCCTGCCACAGTCATCACCCACCCCTGGCATTGATGGTGAGGTGCAATTTGTTAGGCTCCATGGATTGACGCTGTCAATCATACCCAAGCACATATGCACCAGCAAACAGCAGTATGTTCATCTGCTGTGCATCATCCCAAATTGGTCATTAGAACGCCAACCACTGGAGCTGAACTTAGCTCCAGTCCGAACTTGGAAAATCAGAGCCGATCCAAAGGTGAACTAATAATGCGGCAATAGGATGCTTCTTGTCCAGGTGCTACAAATCCAGAGAGCAGCAAATGCTAAGGGCTTTGCCGACGTCGTGTACCTGGACTGCAAAACGGATGCCTACCTTGAGGAAGTGTCGGCCTGCAACATCTTTGTTGTGAAGGGGAGGACCATCAAAACGCCGCCCCTAACAGGGACGATTCTTCCCGGGGTTACTCGAGACTCGATCCTGCAGCTGGCGAGAAAGAGAGGCTACGACGTAAAGGAACAGCCCATCCCTGTTGTGGAAGCGCTCGAGGTGCGTGCAGACGTGCGCCCGTTCCCTGGCTTCCCCAGCCTGCTTTGGATGTGAAGGTGAAAGCCTATTTTGGGGGTCTCTCATGGTTGCAATTCTAACTTGGTTAAGATTCGCAAACATGTTTCAGGTCAAGGAAAACGTTTTGGTTTAAAATTGCTTCGCGTCGGCAATTTTTGTGCAGTCGGCAGTTAAAGATACTCGAATTGGTGCTGGAGCTTCCACCTGATTACTCAGGTCGGCTGCTATTCGTGCTTGCATGTGAACCTGTTCATCCTCGCGCATGGGCACAGTATTCTATTTGCGGCACCTCCATTAGACCCAGCGGGTTTCTAAACCAGTGCACGGTACTGACGAAGGCAGGCAGGATGGAGGGGTGGCGATGCCTGAACGGGAATCGTACGCTCGAGTCCACGGCAACGGTTTACTGCCGAGGCAAAAGGACAACAGGCATTCTGTCCTTTATATTCAGTCCGTTCAGCAACGTCTTTAATGCAATTCCTAGTGCTTCATCGTCTTTTCATGCATTCAGTTGTTCATAATACTCAATCAGTTCTAGTTACAACAGTACATCGTAACTATTTCTCTGGTGCCTTTCCGTTGCATTATTGCTATTGGTACACGCGCTTCCCAAAATTTAGTCCGCGTCGAAGCCCTTCCCGGGGGTGCTGCAGTTGTCGGTCCGTTTGGCGGATGGATGGTGACTGCTTGGTGTGATCCTCCAGGCAGACGAAATTTTCACGACTGGGACGGCTGTTGTTGTGTCACCTGTTGGCAGCCTGACGCACAAGGGCAAGAGGCGTGTGTACGGAGGCGGCGTGGCGCCCACTCCGGTGGGCCTGGAGCTGTACGGGGATCTCACGGCCATTCAAAACGAGCAGACAGGTGACCACTTCGGATGGGTGCATCCCGTTTGCTAGGCCGCGCCAGAAACCCGGGCTTCGCATATCCACCATGCACCGTTTTAAACGGGCAGGCGAATGGGGCACGCAAGTGCTTCTCCAAACATTTCCCTGCTGCGCAATGAGCGAATTCCTGTCTCAAGTCTGCCTGGAGCAGCTGGGGGTGTCAATGGAGAAGATGGTGGCAACAGGATGTGTCACGGTTCGCCCCAGCTCGCAAACTAGCAAGGGCATAGGTTGAGCTGCTTCTGCTCCAGGGGCGTCTGAAGGCAGGAATCTTCGATCGAATGGAAATCGACACAGCTGCAGCTTTGCAGATGACATGTCCACATCGGTAGTTGCGCTGTGCGGCGCTCCCTGTAGCTGATGTAGCTTGGCTGCAAAGCAGTAGTGAGTATGCTGTTTCAATTTTGAATTGCTACCGCGAGTGCAGATTTCCTTGCAAGGGGCTGCGGTTGTGGCATTTGTGCTTCACAGGCAAAGACTGTGTTTCCAAACAAAGAGCATTCGTTGAAACAAATCAGAATTCTCTCCGCATGCCAGGCTGGTGCGCACAAGGAAGCTTCTCTGGGCAGTGGTATTCTATCCCTCCTGCAGGGAACCAAACTCCGGAGTGGCCGCTGCATTCCAGCAATACAATCAAGCATGTTTGGATTCCAAGCCTAATATCGCAATTCTCAGCTCACAGCTTGTGCCCCAGGCCTGAAAGTCCGCCATGCGATTGTTCGTCCCACCCCGAACACAATTGCGACTTTAAACGCACCATGGCGGAATGTCAGTCCCAATGGTCCATTGTGCATTTACGCAATGCTCATATCCACCACCCCATGGTCTCCCAAAATATTCAAGTCACTGATTGTCCACAAATCCTCCAAGCATTGGCCGCCTTCTTCCTTTCTCTCCATCGAATGACATTGGTGGGGCCAGGCTGCCTCCACCCCAAAGCCAGCGAATTCCCCAAGCATCGGCGCCCCCTTTTAACTCCCCACACATGAGGTTCCCAGAGCCCCCAGATCCATCGAGCCTTGAGCTTCTCAAGGTTTGCTGGTCAATCTGAAGAACCTGGGAACCTCGTGGGTGCAGTTGCCAAAAGGGTCAAAGCTACCAACACATCGGCATGAAAGAACTGTCCTGCCTGCTCAACCCTCTCCCACCATCCACCGCCTTCACCCCTATATTGATGTTGCAGAACATTCTGCAGATGTGGTTTCCGGAAATTTGTTGTCCACAAACGAATCGACATCATTCTTGCAAACAATCTTCCCAAACGCTCCCCAGCAAGCCATCTCCAGCGCACGTCCACAGGCAGTTCCCCACTCGCCAGGGGTGCCAAACATACATGCGTATACACTCCAGAGACTCTCACGCATTACAGAAATCTGGAAAAGGGCTCTGAGACAAGGGACTCTGAAATATGCCATCCAACAAGGCATTTCTAAGTGCCGTCCATCCGCATGTCTGCGTTGCTCCTCCACTGAAAATTGGGCATGCGGATAGCCCGCACGATGCTCCCCTTCTCCACGTTTGATTTGCAACAATGCTGAGCGGAGCGTGTTGGCAGGCACTGCAGCCAATCCCTCATAGATGTCGGATTCCCTGGAGAACACATCGGCAATTCTATTAGACACACCCCACAATTAGTGACTTCAATAGCCTCATTAAGTTACTGAATTGTGCGTTTCACACGCCTTCAATCCATGTTTCGTCCATGTCCATCACATTTGTATGAAATTTGGTACACACATTGACATGGGAAAGAGCTTTCCCCTTATAATCACGTTTAGGGGGCCGTTGGTCACCAGCATTGCTTCAGAATCTTTGTACTTTTTCCGAGCGATTGGATGCCCAGCAAGATTCAGCCAAGGTCGCTTAGTTCGGGCTAAGATTCCGCAGAACCATCACACTAGGAAAAAAGTTCCAAATAGGACATGTTCAAATGTGTACAAAGTTCACAGGTTTCGGCTATTTTCGTGTTTTTAGCATGCAGAACACTGATGAGATGCATATATGTGTGTTTGCCAACAGTGTTAGTTGGGCCTTTTGCTGCTAGTGTCAGGGCTAATTCTAACGATATCCAGCAAATCCTATTCCTACAAACACTGCTGCAAAGGCAGCGCTCTGTCAGCGTCTTTCGTGACCCTGTTGACGTCCAGCGTCTGCACAAGATTGCGAATGAGTGGTTCTTGACGCCAAAAGGACACCTAATGCAGGCAACCGTGCAGCCACAAATCCTGGAATAACCCTAATTCAGACAGTCTCCAGCAAGAAAACGGCGGAAAACCCCAGTTCGGACACATGGGAATCGACGGCTGCCTGCCCTGGGACTAGAGTAACCCCACTGCAATCGGCAGGACAGCATGGTGAGAGCCAACAACCACCATGCCGCGTGCAAAGCTGAATCAGTGGGTCTTTGATGGCAGTGTGCCAACCAGTTCACTGTCATGACGTGCAATTCGCAGTCCACCAATAAGTCATGAGCAAAAGCAGGACGCTGATTTCGAAACAGCACATCCTTGTGCAAGGCTCGTGCTGAATTTGATGTGTGTGCGACAATGTGCCACGAGTGCCCTGGGCCAGGAACGATCGGAGCGCGGGTACCGAACCTGCAGACTAGTCTCCATCACCTCGACTCGCCCGTGCCCGATTCAGCCAGGAGGCTTAACTTTACTATTGCCACACTTCGGCCCGGACTAATTTACAGGTTCATCTCACTAATGCCACACTCACGCCGATGCTTACTAATTCCAACTTGAACATAATGGCGTCCGGCCCGAGCGCCATGCGTAAGTACACCCAGGGTTGGTCTCCAGTTCTTCTCAAAACTGATGTGCCTGCTTTGTCCGCGGTGGGCGGCAATCCGCGAAGACCACGGGAGGTCGACACTGTCGTAATATGATGTGTTAATGCACAGATGGAGGTGTGGTGGACATTATGTATGAGTTAACGGACAATTATGGGTTAGCGTGGTGCGGCTGTCTCGGACAGCGGCAAGTACAGTTGGGTATGACAACTGATGTGACTGATCTTTTCCCGTCCAGCGCGGTTGCGCGTGACAGCACGCAGATCATATTCGATCAGATCCGATCCGATCCGTGTAATGGAGGAGCGGCTGACCGCGTTTCGTCAAAGTCGCTGTGTACTCCTCCCACTGGCCAGTAGCACTCCCCGGCGCGGCAACATACGCTTCGGTGTGGCGCGCACCACCCACGCGCCCCTGCGCGCCTGTGCCCCCAAGTCGTCGCGCCTTGACTCGGGACAGCAAGGGAGCCATCGCCCGGAAACACGGACGTTCCCACAGGCATCAGTGGTGACAAGCGCCGCCACAGGCGCGGGTCGCCAGACTGCCCCCCCTGCAGGGCGAGATGGGATAACTGGGCGCCAAGGACCCCGGTTCAATTGCCAACTCGGCCGACTGGGGCCTTGATTCACAAGGCCTCGTCCTGCACGGTGGCCACCCGGCACCACACAGGGGGCGCTATGCCGTAGACTGGCAGCAAAGTAGGGCACTTACAAAGAAAGAGGCGGTCGCGTGAAGAGACGACAAGGGCAACAACCAATTGCCGAAAAGAAATTTATCACTGAATGCCTACGAGCGTACCCTCGTTTCATAGGCCTCTGTACCCAGTCGATGAACCCTTTCGCGGAGCCCTGACCGTCTTCCAACCCGAACAGCGCGGGAAAGCCACCTCCGCTGCTATGAACCCCAATAACCTGGTTGGCGACTGGATTTCGCCTTGCCCGCCTTTTCCACCAAAATTAACAAATCTTGGATCGTGTTGTTTTCTGGCAAGGAGAGCGCCCATACATTTTGCCTATGGAAGAAGCTTTCCCAAGTCTTGTGGCCTGTGTTATTCTGGCTGCAAGCTTCAGCGCTTTACGGTGTATATGTCGTGGAGGCTTTTTTCTGTCGATCGACTATTTTCCCTGTTGATCGGCGCTATCCTTGTCCCAAGATCTTTCTTGCCAATCCTTCAGTGCGGAGCTAAATTTGCGGTAGGCGCCATACTTTGCACACGGAGTGCAAGCTTGGCCAAGATCGCCGGCCTGTGCTGTGCTGCGCGAGATTGTGCAGTCTCGCCCTTCAGGGGCGGCTGTCTGGCAACCCGCAGCCGTGGCGGCGCTTGCCACTACTTATGCCTGTGGGAATGTCCTTGTTTCCGGGCGATAGCCCCCTTGCTGGCGAGTCAAGGCGCGACGACTTGGGCATAGGCGCAAAGGTGGTACGCGCCACACCGAAGCGTATGTTCCCGGACCGGGGAATGTTACCGGTCACGTGGGAGGAGTACACGGCGGCTTTAACGAAACGCCGGCTGACCAGCCTCAACGGGTTCAATGGCTCACGACGCAGGGAAAGCGAGCCTTTCCCCTCACCAGCGCCCACAACGTTGCGCGATGGGCACTGCTAAGCTATGCGCATCCCATTCTCGAAGCCCGACGCCCTTTGCGCTCGGCACGGCGGCGTGACCGGCGGTCACTCCCGGCTACGGGCACACTTGCAGACGTTTCCGCGGGGCCCCTCCCAAGCGAGGCCCCAAAGGGCGGACGTCGTCACAGTCGTTTGGAAAACGACGAATTGACGTGGCGACGCGCGCGGGCAACCCGCACATTGAGGCGCGCACCACGCACGCGCGCGATAGAAATATTCCTCAGAAGCAATATATGCGTCTCAATGGCCCATGGCTCGCGTCAGGAGCCGCCCGCCGCCTGTAAACAACTTGGGTCTCAATCCAGATTTTGCTACACCGCCACAAAGGACGCGCATGCGAATGTGCGGTCACTTGAAAATTGGGCACGGCGGGAGAGCGGTTCCGAAGCCCTTTCAAACAGCAAGGCCGCAGGGGCCACAGACGACAAGCAGAGTCCGCCGCACCACTCGCGGGGGACCGATCGCACTCAGACGCCGGCTACCTGTGCGGGGGAACATCCCGATGTCAGCATGGCGACGGCCGGCCTCTCAAAAGCCACAGCCGTAAACCAGCCAACGTCTCTCGCCTCGCGGAACGCGTCTGCCTGCGCCT